TGTAGACAAAGTGTCCTCTGGTTTGTTGTGGGGAACGAGGCGTTGTAATACGAGTACAATGTACCGTACGGCATTGCGATGCTTGCGGTGTCCCCAACCACGCCGATGGTTTCCCGCAGCCTCCGATTAGCAGGGTTTTGGCCACGTACGGTGCGAAAGAAGTTCAACATACACACCTACACGTAGCGTAATGTATTGCTGTACTGTTGATGGGTTTACGCCGGACTAGATGAGAGCCATGTCAAGCAGGGCGGCCCTTTGCTTATAGTTATTTGGCAGTTCACCAGAATTGCTTCGAGCAAGCGCTTGACTTTGCTGATGAGACACTTAAGGTCGAAACCGGTTCAGAGTTTGATTGTGTTGTACCGATGCCGCGTTCCCAGAAGTTCGTGTGGCTGATGGGATGGGTGAAAAAAAAACATTATTTTGTGGACAAATGTGTGGAGGCGCGTCTGCTTTTTTTTCTTGATTTTAAATATTGGGTTGTGTAATGTGTTCTGTATCGAAAAACAAACTCCGTTATGTTGGCAATTAATTACCGCTGCTGATTAACACCGGGTCTAGGAATCGAACCTGATTGCATTTGAACACACGCACAATATCACATGGACAAATTTCACGCGCCTAATTATACAAAGACCACACACATCACGTACAATTGTTGACAAGGCAACTATCCCTCCCTCTCTGTAGCGAGACTTTGGGGGAAGTTAAATCTTGACTTAAAGCTTTCGTGACTGCAGGAATTCATTCTCTTTAGGTAAAGTCACGCAAGTATGAAGGCCGGCACGGCACGCGTGGTGGGGTGACCAGCACCACGCCCGACCGCCTTTGTCTCCCCAGTGGCGATGTTTACACACCGCACCAGGTACTCATTTGAGGCTTAGTCGACCTAGGGGAGGCTCGGGACCGGTTCAGATAATCGTCACTGGTGTTGGCCGTGAGCGGGAATCGAACCCGGGTCGCCGGTTTCATAGCGCAGCGCGCTAACCACTACACCACCGCTCCCCACACACACGCACAGCCACACACACAGCGTGAGTGATAGGGGCACTCCGAACGTTGGTCACCAACATTGATCACGTGACGACGAAAGAGCGTGTGCGTCCTGGGGCCTCATCTAGGTCGACTCAACCTTAAACGAGTAACTGGTGCGATGTGAGTAATCACCACCGCTGGGGAGACAAAGGTGGCCGGGCGTGGTATTGGCCACCCCCACCCCCTCGTTGCGCCGTGTTGGCCTTCTTCATTAGGCGCTACTCGCTAACAGCACTTGCCCCAACAGCCTGCGTAAGCTATACGGGGGGTCTTTGTCGCTGTGCTGTGTGTCAAGCCATCGCGACACACGCACCAACAGGTGCTTGGAAAGGGCTTCAAAACTAAAATAATAATAAGTGCGGAGTTGTGTTTCACCGTTCGTTCGGGTAGAGCAGCAGCACCGGCGACAAAAAAACAACCAAACTTTGTTTGGAAATTAACGAGTGAAAGATACTTTTGTTAAGACTCCGCTTGTCAATGTTTGTTGTTGTTGTTGTTGTCGCGCAGATAAATGTAACAATTATCTGCTGTGCGGAAGGGTCGTCGCCCGAAACGTTACGGTGTGTGTTTTAAAAGCTGAACCGAGTAGTGAAACCCAGTTGTTGTTCTGCGATGGAAATATGAGAGACAGCTGTCACGTCTGAAGTGCTAGTCTCGCAATACCGCCGTTCTCGAAGCACCGCAATTACTAAGCCTTTTTTTTAAAACGTAATAATAACAACAATGAAGAGACAATGTCCCGCGAGGTTTATTGCTGTATATTCTCGAGGATTTAAAGAATATACTGGCGAAATAATTACATTAATAGGAGCACAAATTGGCAAGTTATCGTAAATTGTAAATGAACCGCGGTCAGTCTCCTGTATTCCTTACTCGTCGCTATCCATTTTATGTGACCCGACCCTTGTGGACGCCTGTGAAAAAAGAGCTTTATAGCTCATCGGATTCCTCCAGTATTAATAACCATTACGATTCTGATATCTTCCCAGCTTCTTCCGCTACTTCAATCCAGTGTTTATTTGTTCCGCGAAAAATCCCGCGAAGCCGGTTACCCAGCTAGCTTCGGTGGCAACGGCCCGCAGCGGCCACTAACAATCAACAGAGTTACCGTCGTGGTGGAGAGGAACCCAGCCAGCAGCCAGCCAAGAAACTCAAGGCGTGGAGTATTTTTTTAACAGTACTGTGGTGTGATGATGTTGTGGGTGCGTCTTACAATCCGGTAGGGTCATGCGTGCGTGTGTCACTAGATCTGTACAACTTTATTTACGCATGGCCGCCAGCTTGAGGCGCGCTCCAACCTAACAATTGAACTTTTTTTTATATGAATGATTGCATACACAAAAAGGTTTTGCTGGCTGGCTGGCTGGAGGCAGGGAGGGACGGATAAACGAACGGACGGTCACGTCCAAAGGGGTGTGCGGTTTGCTAGTTTGTGATTATATTAAACTTCGTCTGTTACTCAACAGTTACCACAGTACCGCATTAGTGTAACTTTTCATAGGCCTATTGAAAAATCTGGTCATCAAAGTATGTAATTCTCATCAGCCCGCCCCCTAGTGCAAAAGCAAGTGCAGTCCCTTATCCAATCTATCTATTTAAGTGCTACGAGGAAGCTCCATTGCCTTATTATATATTTAAAAAGCCACGGTGTTATAGACGAATGTGTTGAGTTTATGTTATGATCCACATAGTCGTATTAGAGATGTTTGTTTGTCTTATAAATGCGGCGGTGATGATGATGATGATGACAAAGTCCGTGATGTACGTTCGGTCTGCTCTTGGAAATTAAACTGCCAACTCGGTGTCTTTAATTTTTAGTTTGACGGACAACGCAATCGATCGCCTGTGCATTGATACTGAAACTTTTTTCACGTATCGATCCAAACCTGATAAATGAGCACGATGGGACTTCAACTCACAGCGATTCGTAACTTTGACGCTTGATAGGCACGTACCATAATGTTCATGCCAAGGTGATTGTCTACCAGTATTGAAATGATGAAAATATCGTCTCAGGACATTTAAACAACTTTTCAATGAAGATCAAATATGAATATTGCACTTGTTAGCTGTGGGTGTAGAGTGGTGGTGCAACAGTTGGAGCAACAGTTGGAGCATTACATCCGTGAACCTAACAAACCGAGTTCGATTCCCAGCCACTGCTAACATCAGTGACTATATTTACTCGAATTGTAAATGTCGTGGGTTTACTCTCTAACACACCGGTGTGCTGAACTAGTAACTAATTAGCACGTTTTGTTAATGTGACAAACCTTACTAATTGGTCGTGTCGGGTGGTGGCAGGTTTAACGACACATTTATATTTACGCGATCTAACCCCGACCAAAAACTTCTATTATGGATATTTATCATTTGAACCGATCATTCTCTCAACCTCTCTCCCACCCCTGCACCAAACCGCACCGACCAGCGTGGTGAAGTATGGCCATACAACCCCCATGACCGACAACAGCGTGAAGAGGCCAACCTCCATGCAGCACTGCACTGACCAAGGGCCGCGAAAATTAATGCCTTGGTTTACTTTAATGCGCTCTTTAAATGTTCAAGGAGTAGATGTTAACTACCCCCCCCCCCCGGTATGCAAGAGGTCATGGGTTTGATCCCGACCCTGACGCCTGTATATATCTGGAGTTTGCATGTCTCTCTCCCTGTGATTTCCGTGGACTTTTCTCCAGGCCCTCCGGGGTTTCCCTACACATTTAGAATCAACATCACACGTTTACAGTATTTGGCTGCTATACATTTCCACGTGATGATATCCCCCTTCATTGAGCTATCATTTGTGGCCAGCTATCATTTGTGACCAGTTCAGTGGACCTTACCTGCTAAAGTGTTGTAATGTTGTATTTCGTTGTACGTACGTGAACAAATATTGGGCGAAAACATCAACATCGCATATCTGCTAAGAAATGTAAACGATGATTTCCCACTTTATTTAATTTCATATTTGTAAACCAATCAAATCCAGGTGAAATCCGACTGCAAGGCATCTTCCGGTGATGCTGGAGGGTAGCTTCCAGATCTGTTTGCGAGCCGTGCGCCGCGTGTTCGGGTTCCCCCGAGAAGATTTCAGTCGCCGAGACAAGCTCCCGGCACGCGGAGCGAAACGTCGGACACCGTGCGACGTTGACAACGCACGAGGCGACAACGCCGGCTTAAGGGCCACGTCGCATCATCGCGAGCGCTGGTTCCACATCGTCGGACATTACGTAGCCGGCTACCTCGGGCTCGCAAACCCGTTGCCCCGATCCCAGCCGAAGCAGTCGTGACACAGCAACACAGGCAACTCAATTGCTGATTTGAAGCTTTCGCGACTGCAGGAATCCATACTCTTTGGCTCTTTCGGCAAAGTAATCGCGTGGAAAAATAATAATAATAATAGATCACGACGTTTCGATCGCCACACAAGCGATCGTCCTCGGGTGGGGACGATCGCTCACGTGAGGACGGTCGCTTGTGTGGCGATCGAAACGGCGTGATCTATTATTATTTTTATTTTTCTACGTGACTTTACCCAAAGAACCAAAGAGTACAGACGACGACCGTTGCGGTGATTGCTCCTGGTCCCCGTCGTGTCCCCGTGACACCTGCCCGTAGATTTATATCTCAACAAAAGGGTGCGATAAGATGATATACAATTAGCAATTTTTCACGCTATCGTGGACAGGCCGCTGCTGCTGACGCGGTGATCTGGGCTTGACCGCCTGAACGTGAAATTGTAATTTGACGCTCTGCGTCAACATCAGCAGCCGTACGAAAGAAGACGAAGAACGTGGCTGGGCGCCCCGTGGACTCTGGTTGCAGTGCCTTACGCCGATGATACATACAGTTCTCCATCGCAGGGTTTCGGAAAAAATATCACTCGCAACCATTCTCCACCACGTGCTATGTTGGTAGCGGTAGTAATAATAACCGCTAAGTTAGTCGAGGAGCGGACTCACCTCTTGACCCGAAGTGGACTCCCGTGTGAAGTTGTCTTCACCAAACACGGCCTCGACTTCTCGTCGCGTCGACTTTTGTTCCCTTTATCAGTAGTTTGGTAATAAAATAATAATTTACGATATAATTTACTTGAACACACACACACGAACAGTGAATGAAAAATAAATTAACTTACAATTTCTTTTAAAGCAATTCACTGGGCGAGCAAATTGACAAGCGCGTTGAGGTTTGAAAGCAAGAACGTTGAGCTTCTGGTTGAGCGCGTGCCTTCAAAGAACACGACAGGTCGACTGTCATCGACAGAGGGAGAGAGAGAGAAGAGACAGAGAGAGAAAAGCCAACATTCCCAGTCATCCAGAATTACTCAAGTCTAAGGATGAAGGAGCGGAGGAGGAGGAGTTGTCGCAGAAGAAGGGGGAGGGGGAGAAGGAGGAGTTTGTAGCAGGAGGAGGAGGGGGACAACCAGGAGTTGCGAATTAACTTTAAGAAGAATGAGAAAGGGAAGAAACGCACGGGAGTTGATGTAGCGACTTGAGTGGCACACCACTGACCCGGCAGGGTACCGTAACGCGCACAACGCCGGGATTCTTGGGAACTGCGTGTGTGGTGTGTGTCTGTGTGTGTGTCTGTGTGTCTGTGTCTGTGTGGTGTGTGTCTGTGTGTCTCTGTGTGTGTCTGTGTGTGTGTCTGTGTGTGTGTATGTGTGTCTGTGTGTGTGTCTGTGTGTGTGTCTGTGTGTGTGTCTGTGTGTTTCTGTGTGTGTGTCTGTGTGTGTCTGTGTGTGTCTCTGTGTGTCTCTGTGTGTCTGTGTGTGTCTGTGTGTGTCTCTGTGTATGTCTGTGTGTGTCTCTGTGTGTGTGTGTATGCGGTGTCTATGTCTGTGTGCATGCGATTCTCGCAGCCAATGCTTATCTGAACCGGTCGTGGGCCTCCCCTAGGTAGACTCAGCCTCAAATGAGTACCCGATGCCGTGTGTAATCATCGCCACTGGGGAGACAAAGACGGCCGGGCGTGGTGTTGGCCACTCCCTCCCCCCACCCTCCTCGTGTTGCCCGCCAGACTTAATAGGTGCTCGCTAACAGCTCTTGCCTTGACATCCCGCTGCATGAACGTCTATTACGGGGGAATCTTTGTGCGCTATTCAGCCAGGAGAGGGAAGAGCGACGTGACCGAGCGAAGGGATGCGAGGGGAAGAATCGATTGCGAGTAACGGGGCATTCCTTCCGACACGGTACACCACAAAAATCCGCACGAAGCGCTATGCAGCAGACACTGTCAATCAAAGTGCAGCTGTCACATCCACGCACGCGCACGCACGCACGCGCGTGCCTGCGGGGCCTGCTACAAACCCGCTTTTAACTCGCTCCAAATCGCCACCACCACCACCACCAAACCACAACTACCACAACAACAACCATCGTCGTCAGGAGCCAGTGTCTATCCACTGCTGGATGAAAGCCGACCGCCTCTGTCGCCGTCACTCGCGGATCCGTGACGCCACGGATTCATCTTCACCACATCCGTACACGAAGTGCAATTAATGAATTGGTTACTGTAATTGGATAACATGCGTACAGACACGTGGGGCAATATACGCAAATAGTTGTGACCACGTGTCATCGAAGTCCATCTCACTCCTGCTGCACGTGAGCTGATTTAATTGCTTCAGTACCTTCACCTTAACGTGGTTATAATCCATCCGTCAGTCATAATCTACCCACTGCAAGATTAATTCTACCGAAAGCCGCCGCCATCAATCATCGCTCCATCTCCGCGGTCGACGACCTCTGCCATTCCGGCCCACCGGACCATCAGCCCCGACTCTTAAAACATAAACTAAAACGCACACTAAACGAAACGTTTAATATTTGACCAGGTATGGCCCCACTGAGCTACATAGCTCTTTTCCAGAAGCGACCTGGCTACACATGATAACTCGACGAAGTGGCTTGTCACGTGAACATTTATGGCAGCAAAATACACGCGTGTTTCTAAATGTGGAGGGAAAAACCGGAGGACCCCGAGACACATCCACGCGACCACGGGGAAGAGAGACACGCACACTGCAAATATACAGCAGCAGCAGGCGTCAGGGTCAGGATTGAACCCACGACCTCCTGTATACCAGGCGAGGTAGTTAACATCTCCTAGCCACCGTGATGATGAGAGAGAGACACGCACACTCCAAATATACAGCAGCAGGCGTCAGGGTCAGGATTGAACCCACGACCTCCTGTATACCAGGCGAGGTAGTTAACATCTCCTAGCCACCGTGATGGTGATGATGAGAGAGAGACACGCAAACTCCAAATATACAGCAGCAGCAGGCGTCAGGGTCGGGATTGAACCCACGACCTCCTGTACACCAGGCGAGGTAGTTAACATCTCGTTGAACAACTAACGTCGATCTGATGGACGTTGTGCTCTTTAACGTGGTTCGTGAAGCTAAACGAAGTCATCTCGCGAGATGTTAACTCACAGCGAGGGGCGAGAGAGGTGAGGACTCGTCACTGATCTCGCCTCTGTGGCGCCCCTTCTACGTGAACAAAAGTTGACGACCCCCCTCCCCTCTCCTCTCTCTGCCTTCCTTGATGAACCTTGCAGGGACTATCACAGGCCTTTCTACAACACCGAGGCAATGGTTTACAAGTTAACGGAAATGCTCGGAGAAAATAAAAAATCAACCCTCGGACTCTCACTCGCTTCTGTTAACGATGAACCGTCGTCTTAGCCGTGGTTCAACAACAACAACAAAAAAACTCAGCCAGTTGAACAACTAACGTCGATCTGACGGCCGTTGTGCTCTTTAACGTGGTTCGTGAAGCTAAACGAAGTCATCGGCAGCCGCAGCAGCAGCAGCAGCCGCCTGTAAAGTGCGCGACGTTCAACGCCACGTGCCGGAGTGGTCCTGTGAGCAGAGCCCATAAGGGTACACGGTGAATCGTTTAGTTTTTAGTTTAGTTTATTTATTTTGGTATAGCCCTGTGAGCCATTCGGCTCTTGATTCGGGTGCAACCACAACAAACAAAAAAAACAAAAACACGAACAAGAAAAACATCTTAAAGTGACTATGTGACTGTGCAAACAAAAAAATCCATGGAAAAACAGCAAAATATTCCTGAAAAAAGCACCGTACACCAACGCTGTGTGCAAAAATCCCAGTGGGATGCAAGTCAAACAACAACAACATAGTATTGGTTATTTAGGTAAAATCACATAGAAGGGAAACAATAAAATAAGAAAAATATAAAACAATAAAATTCTCACGACGTTTCGACTGCAACACAAGCAATCGTCATCAGGTGTGAAAACCACAGCAAGACAATTTGAAAAAAGTGGCGGTTATTTTTAACGTTAGCACCACGGAGAGCGATTTGGCAGTTTGTTCAGATGGACGAGTCCATCTATATTCGGAAAAGAGGAGGGGGGAGACGAAAATAATCGATGCGGTCTGAAAGCCACCGTAAGCGTGATCAATCAATTAAGACCCGAAATGGTTTATCAAATCCTTCCAATGATTGCTAAGCCAGAATCCATCTTCTCGGTTGAAATTGTCTGTGTTTGTATGTGTGGATAGCCTCATAAACGAATCTCTCATGGTAGCCAGATGGCTTGCAGAGAACCTCTGTCTTGGAGAAGTCAATGTCATGTGAGCCCACTGAATTATAACAGTGATCTGCCACGGCCGAGGTGTTGGTCCTACCGTGTTTTAGGTCTGCTTTGTGTTCACGGATGCGGTCCGAGACATGGCGTTTGGTTTCTCCAATGTAACTACTACCACAGAGGCAACTTAGTTTGTAGACGCCAGGGTACTGGAGGGGAGGCGGGGTCCTCCGTGCTTCTTAGACGTCACAGTGTCAGATGTAAGACTTCTGGTTTAGTTTGAAGGTGTCGGGGGGGTGGGGGCGTCCCACAAGGTGTGGGTCGCCCTGGGCCCTGGGCCCCCCACCACGTGGACAACGATCACTGTGAGACTCGAGTAGCCACAAACATCAAGAACGACGCCTTGGACATTTCTGATGCGCGGCCACCACATTGCGTCCGACAGGTCTCCCAGGCCGCGGGCTCTGCTCCAGTTTGTTCCAGCCGCGGGGGGCAAGCTGCAGCAAGATCCTTTCCTTCTTGTGCCGCACTTCTACGCCCCCGTCTGCGTTGCTTCCAGCCTTCATCCTCACCACGTACGAGCCCGCCTTTGCAAGTGGCGTCGAAGCGTGGTTGACATGGCCCCTGGCACACAGCCCTTGCTACACGGCACGGTCCATGGTACACGGGATGACAGATGGGACCACTCCCTATCCAGTCGCACTGCCCTCCTTCCTCCCTCCCTTACCCGACACTTGCAACGGGCCTGTCCCCCAGCCCTGCGGGCGGGCCCCGGTCGCAGTTGCACCGCCTGCACACTCCACGGCTTCACGCGCTGCGTAAACAGGATTCAACGAACTCGCGCCACTGCCTCCCGAGTTCGCACATCCGATTGGCCGAGCGGTTGGCTACGCACGGTTGCGAAAGAAGTGCAACATACATACATGCAAGCAAGCAGACAAACCCCAAAAAACACTCCTTAAAATATGAACACGAAGCCATAAGAATAGAACACCCCGCCCGGAACCGTGCACGCAACATCGGGCATTGAAACGACTCGAGAGTAGCGAGACGCGCTCGCTGCAACCCGATCGCGAGGATGATCGTGATTGCTCTGATCGTGGATCGGAGGTGGGGTCGGAAGGGGGCCTAACTCTGCCGTGGCAAGAGAAGCATTTTGGTCCAATTACAATCACGTCCCTTTGATTGCGCGTAAGCTTAGAACTCACGGCGCCCGTAATTGGAACCCCCCCCCCCCCCCTGACAACAGCTGCACGTGCACAGAGTGTGCGGGAAGGGAGGGGGACGTGGGGAAGGAGTCGGGGGGTGAGGGGGGAGCTTTTGATGGAAGTGAGCTCGGGGAATGAATGCCATGGGTGGGTGGGTGGTTGGCGACACACGGAGAGAAGGAAATTAATTAAGCGGCACTCATAGAATGAGACCGACCCCCCCCCCCCCCCCACAGAAAGAAATAAAGGTGCATTGCACGGGGGGAGAGAGAGAGAGCGAGAGACGTAATGCACCGGGAGAGAGAGGTGTGTGAGAGGTACACGACGCACAGAGAGAGAGAGACGGAATGCAGAGGGAGAGGGAGTGGTGAGAGAGGGGTGAGAGTAGTGGTGGGGGGGGGGGTACACGACAGAGAGAGATACAGAGAGAAAGAGACGTGATACTATTTTTTTTATTTTACCAGGTAAGATCATCACGTGGAAATGTAGAGCAGCCTAACACTCTAAACGCGTGTTGTTGATTCTAAATGTGGAGGGGATAACACCCGACCACGGGGAGAGAGAGACACGCAAACTCCAAATATATAGGCGCCCGGGTAGAAATCG